TTTTGTAACTATTTTTGTCACATAAAAGAGTTTTAAGAAAGATGAATTTAATGACTCTTTTTATTTGATAAATACGAATGAAATTTACAAATATGTATTTTAAGTTTAACTCCAACAAAAGTATAATTTTCACAATAAAATGACTGTATGCACCACAGATAGGGAACCTGAGGGCACGATGATTATGTTTCTAGACAAACGGTTGTTCTTGGAGTTGATTTGGCAATGATCATGATCAAATACAAGGTTTTAATCAATGGTACCCACTTTATAGAAGCTAATTGTGCCCTAGAAGTGTAAGGAATAGTTCGACCAATTGCACATATAACAGAATAAATAATTATCAGCCAGAGCCAAAATCAAACACCACCTTTGTTTCTTTCTCCTAGGAATATTTTCGAAAAGAAGTTTCCTTTGTTCTAGAAATTGGCAAAACTTTTTTTACCAAGTCATTACGATTTGAGGTGAAAAGTTTAGTTAAATTGTTATCAATGCAAGATTAATGATCTAAATGAGTAAGTCTTTATTCCATTAGCCAGAAATTACCTCTAAAGTGAATAAATCAAGAATGATTGAAGAAACTTTTCAGTATAGTAGTTTTCAATAATAGTAAACAGTTTTCAAGTTACAAACCAAAAAAAAGGCTTTCTGAGAGTCCCCAAGCGCTTCTCACTTCTTAAAATTGATTGGAAACTTTTGGGATATCAAGGTCTTAAAGAGTTATCCCATTACAGAAATTGAAAATTTTCCACTCTCGATATGAAATCTATACCCACACATTCATTAACTGTACTTTAAATATCTTAAAAATAAGCGAGAAATAGTTAGAGAATTTAAAAAATACAAAAACACATGTTGTTCTTTCTATAAAACTTACAAATATAATGTAGGCTGGATCATTGGGATCTGGTATTATGTTGACAATGCGTCGTTCAATGTTGTTCGCTCTTTGTAATCTTCCCCATCTCTCTCCGTCCGAGTATAGGAATGACCGTTCTATCGAATATTTGCGAGAATATGATAGATAGAAAATAATACCTAGAGAGAGAGAAATACTTTATTGAAAGTGATGCTGAAGTAGTGTAAAGCAACCCTACTACATAGGGCTGCTTTACACACAGTGTATCGATCCATCTATTTGTACATACTTTATACATTACGTTATTGTACTATTAGATATACATATATTTCCTTCTTTTCCCCCTCATCATAATACTAGTCTTAACTACAATAACTACTTAACTAATAACTACACCAAGCCTAAACTAATAAACTACACATGTCATCAACTTTGCATAACATACACATTAAAAAAAAAAATCTGGTATGTCCACTCACACGACTGTCCTACCTATTTTAGAAAAATATTTATATCTTTACATATGTCCATCAAGAAAAAAAAAAAAAAAAAAAAAAATTGAATTAGATTTATTTTCCTGAAAATTGACCAAAGAAAAGATTTGAGTACGATTTATTTGATGTACTAAAGCAATGCAAACCGGCTTAAGGTAGATCAGTGTAAAAATTTCAATACCCTCTAATATTGATGATCAAAAACTTTTTGCCATAGCCTAATAAGTAGAGGAAATAGTGAAGCTTGTGTGATGAGGGCAACAGATTTTCTTACTTAGTTATCTTTTTTCTCTCATTCAACCCTTTCTGATACCAGGATATGAACCTGTAATCTTACATTGGAAATTTAATAGCTATAACAACATAACAATGCTAAAAATTTAAAATAGAATAAATAAATGATAAAAGACATAAAATATTATTGGGGATTTATTATCTTTTTGTTGTTTTTTAGAAAAGTCTTATTCTAAAACAGTATAATTTGTATTCAAAGAAATATTTTTTGGAACCTGGAAAAGTCTGAAAAGCTGGGGCCATATATATACTTATATACTTGTACATCTTATAACTCTTCAAACTCAAAATTCCACTAATATTATTTTTTCATTTGAGAGAGAATTTTATGCTGTCATATTCTTATGCTTTATAAGAATATGACAGGTATCTCTCTGGGTATTCAGAGAGAGATTATGGCTAAAGGTATTTTTTGATTTCAATTGGCGCAGCATTTCCACTACACACAAAAAAATATTTGATTTATGTTATAATAAATCTTTTAAAACTCAAAATTCCAAAAATATTATTTCATAATCTGATGGAATGTTTATGTTTTTTTTTCAGTAATAAATGGCTGTATTGGAATGTATGGAGAGACTTTTAAGCAATTTTTACTTGTATTTGTAACTGGTAAATTCAAATTTACTGTATTACGTTTAAATTGTAATAAAAACTCTTAAAACTCAAAAACCCACTAATATTATTTTTGTGTTTAGTAAAAAATTGTATTCTGTTTTCATTAATATATGGTTGTATTGGGGTATTTGGAGAGAGATTTTCGCTACAGGTAGTTTTTTTTATTTGTACCACAACTTTGGAAATTTAAGTTTTTTTAAACATGAAAAAAAATTATAATTCTAAAACTTTTGATATCAGCAGATTATACATTAAATTTATGACAAATTAATACATTTTGAAAGCTCTTGGGAAATAAATATTGGTTTTACAAAGGAAAACCTAACAGGTGAGTGCTGGTTTAGAGCTCGAAATGTCTTCCCAACTTCAAATATTTCAAAAGTTTAAATACCCATTATTCTGAAACTTATCCTTAGAATTGGGTAAAAGTTGGTATTTTTATTTATTCTGTATTTACTTAATATTTACAAAGTACCAATAGGATCTAAGGGAGGTGGGTTACGGGCCCTAGATGTATTGGCATGGAATGACCCTTACACTTTTTGTTGATATTTGGTTATTTAAAAGTTTACGAATTTTACTAAAAAACAAAAAAAAAAGGTTGTTGAAATCAGATATGGCGTTCTAGGTATTTTTCATATGTTCTAGTGCAAAGGTTATATTTTTGTTTTTGTTTTTTATTTTCTTAGCAAATTATTAATGATGAAAAGAAAAATTAGAGAATAATAGGGATCACCTTTTATTTATTTTTCTTTGTGTTACCAGGAAGGTGATGCTACTTTAGATTTATAGTTGTTTGGAAATAATAAACTATTGTGTAATATCTTGCAGCATTTTTTTTATTTGGTTGACCGATAAATTGACCAATTTATTCCAGAAGCTGTAAAATTAGGCAACTACACTTCCCATAAATATCGGTTATAGCTTCTACAAATATTATATTAAGCAAGATGATGACATAAAATAAGGAGTAAATATTAGCCAAACTTAAAAGCTTTTCCAAAATCTTTTAACAGTCTCACAAAATTGAGTTAGATGGTTGAAGATTTGCATCTGGATTATTTGGTGTTTTAATCCTATAAATATCTTTTGGTTTTCTTAATTTTTTTTTTCTTTCGACATCTTTCGGTATCCAAAATTCCAAAAATCGTCATCTAGAAGTTATTATTTAAGATAATCTCATTCCTCCTTTTTCCAATTACCTTTGATATTTTGAAAAGCTTATTATTTTTACGGAAAATATGGCCAAAAAAAAATATAAATAAGAGATACCGACAGAAAAATTTTGGTTATGTGAATATCGATATTTAAATCTTCAATTTTTTTCTAATATCATGGAATGAAATCAGCCACTGTGAGGGAATTAATCAACAAATTACTCTACATAACTATTCCAAAATGAATATTTTTAATTTAATTTAAAAACTTCAATTGTGTTCTTCAATACAGTTTTGATTGGAATATTTATAGTATATAATGAGTTGGTTTAGTTTGTATTTTTTCTATATTCCTAGATATATTTCTGTGTAGAAAGATGAGCTTAATGACATATTTCGTTTTAAGAAATAACCAGAGCAATAAAAATTAAAAATATTATTTTACCTATGAAGAGCCAAATGAATATTTCTTTTCTGGGATAAATTTCAGAATCCCATCCCATGATTTCGAGAATACCTACAACAGTAAGTGGCACGAATGGCACTCCTCGGACCTGTGAAGAAATTTTCATTTAATACTTATAACTTTATTTAAAACTAGCTGTCAATCATGATTTCATTCGTGTAGTCTTAAATTTTTATAATATATTTAGTATGAGTATCATAGCATTCATTGTTGTAATACCACAGAAAAAAAAAATTAATTAATTATTAAGCAATTAGGTGCTTTTTGATAAACAATATTTTTTTTCTTTCTCTGTGATTAAAATATGAATAAATCACTATTTAAGCCAACAGAAAGTGTGAATCAATGAAATAAAATGGACTAATCATGATGGTCTCATTGTCCCATCGCTTGCTTTCAATTATTATGATTACTATATCATGTAATATTATTATATGTATATTTTGTTATCATATATTATATATAATATACTAACTATGCTAATTGTAAGCTAATGATACAACAATAACATCATCATGATTAGCCCATTTCATTTAACTGATACAGATATTGTTTTGGCTTAACACATATGTGTATTTAATCTTCAAGAATAGTAGAATTATAGAAACGTTATGGAACATATTAGCCTAAATTGATTTTATAATCTATTTTGCTCACATTTTCAGGATTCTGGACCACTGTGAGTATTGCCTAGGAAACATAACTAAACTCTGTTACATAGACTAGCATTAAACATGGATATTACTTACTGTGTAGTAAATATCCCTTTTATTTTGGGGTTGTTGCATCAGGCAGAAGGTAAAGAAAAAAAATAGTGTCAAACTTATCACAAATCCAGTTCTGATAAGCGGGTGTGATAGCTGTGCATCTTCAACAAACACTCTGAATAATATTCCAGAAGCCATAATGCATAAGACTGTAGGCATTTTTTAAAATTTAATTTTAAAACATATAATTCAAGTAATTTTTTTTAAATCATTACAATTATCTTATTGCATAGGAGATAATGTTATACTTATATTAATAAGTACAATGTTATTTTTTATAATTTTTTAAATAAATTGATTTTCTCGTGTTTTAATCTAATATAAATGATTTACTCGCCCACAGTTTCAAGTACCAGCGATGAATATCAGAAGCATTGATATTCTTTCAGTTTGTTTTGATGGATACTTTAGCGATCTTGGGTAATTGATGAGGACCCATCGATTTAACGGGTCCTCTTCTGTAACTTCTTCTTCACATCTGTACCTGTAAACAGATTATTGTTTGTTTTTTAAGTAATAGTTATCTAAATGTTAGTTCATATTCTTTCCCTTTTTTATTATATTTTATGCATTCTTCAAAACCTGGCCTACAGGTCAAAATAAAAAAAAAAATAATTTATTATATTTGTATTTCTATGTGTACATTTTTTGGATACTTTTTCCCCGTCTTCAACATCTAAAATTTAATAAAAATAGTAAAATTGTAAAAATTCAATGATACACTCTCAAATCTTCTCAATATTTTTACATTTTTATAGGTTCTATATTAAGCCAATCATAATTTTGTTTTAATTCATTACATTTTCAATCGAATTGTAACTATTTCATATCAACTTAATGCACTTGACTTCATTTAATCTTTTTTTTTTTCTCACTCTGCAATGATTTTATTATACAAATACTATAGGTATATATACATCTATTTTTGCTTTTCTCTTACACTGCCAAAAATGGATGTATATGTAAATACATTAGATGTACTTGGAATTTTATTACCTATGTTATTTTATACATAGTTTAAGTTGTTGGAATGGCAAAGCAAAAAAAAGAAAAGAAAAATATAGCAGAAAAATGTGGCAAGTGTTACTTTCAGTAGTACCTACAGGATTTTGTGAATTTTTTTTTTTAAACTATAATTATCAATATTTGTTCCCTGGTTGTTATTTTTAGAAATGAACTGTTCACTGGATTCACAAATAAATTTTAATTGTGAGTTCTATCTCCTGAAAATATATTTTTAATCTTACTAACTAGTATAAATAATGAGAAATAATACAAGCTGTTAATTTCTAGGACAATATGTGCTATAGATGTATATATTCATAAATAACATATATTGTCGATTTATTGAAAAAAGTGATTAAGCACATATTTGATAGAGTTCAACTGTTAAGAACGTTTTTTTTTTAATACCAAACTTATTTATTGATAAAAAAAACATATTAATTGCTCTAAAATGGCAAAAAAAAAACTTTTATGTGTCTTATATGTTACAAGCTTCCAATTTCCTGAATTTACTGAAGAAAAATTGGTCAAAATTCTAAGTGTTTTAAGGTTATAAAATGTCACTTATTGGTAATTCATTTTTTAACAATACGTACCTAGCATCTATAGTATTGGGTAAGCTGAAAAAATGAAATTGAAAATATTTAAATTATAAGAAATTGGAATGATTGGTTTGATAATAATTTCTATAAATGTTTTCAAAAATTTGAATTTTTTGTTATTGTACTATTTATTGTAATTAATTAAATTGATTTGTTTCATGATATTATAGAAAATAAATTAAAGTTATATATTATCCCAGTTTATATTCTTCGAATTAAATATTCAGTGTTTTCAAGTGAGCAGTGTAAAAGTTTAACTGAGGTTGTCAAAGTCTTTTAATTTCACTTTACAATATACTCTCCACTTAGGTTACCATTTTTATACATCAATTTATAATAGAAATTAACCAACCCAGTAGCGGACCTAATTTTTTTTTTTTTTTTTTTTTTGCTGAGGTTGGATGTTGAAGAAGAAAAGAAAACAAATAAAAACATATATTAATGTGCACCAAATGCTTAAGTTTTAAGCCTTTATCAGGGCTAAGTAAAAGCTAAATAATTATCAGTAAGAAACAGACTAAAAAAATAAACAACAACGTTATAATAAGAAAATAAGTATAAAGATATAGAATGTGAAAATGATAATGATAAATCAAACTTGTATGCGTAATCAATGAAAAATAAAAATAAAAATTAGATATGAATGAAGCATTATGACATATAAGATATATTATTATTTATATTATTACAGTAACCCTGTGAGAAGTCCAGATATACGCTGCATATCACTCACAATGAATGAAGTATAATAGGGAAAAAACAGTGTAACAAGAAATAGGTATTATGTTCACATTTATTATGATGACATCTTATTATTTTTGTTTTACTACTTATAGTTTTGACTTTTATATTTTTTTTCTCACTGTTTTGTCACCTTTACTTTACAATTTCTTATATCTTATTATTCTTACATATCGTATCTTTCATTCATAACTTATTTTTAAAATGTTTAATTCTTTTTATTTACATTTATTAGTTTGGTTGATTATAACAATTTTCATGCACTGTCATACTGGCAGTTATCTTCTTATTTTCTTTATCACTGGTTTTTGACACATTTCTTTGTGTAGAGTATGGAATGGAATAGAAAAATGAGTAAGCATATAATTGAATAAGATGGAAAAATTACAACAACTGGAAAAATTCATTCTAAATATAATATAAAGGTTAACTCAAGACAGTAAATGTATTTTTTCAGAGGTTTCTAGTTAATTATCTTAACATTCAAATTCATGTGATTTGAAAATTGAATTTAAACAATGGCATATCCGCAAACATTTTTTTTAAATTTATTGTTTTATGAATAAATTTAGATTCCTTAATGTAATTATTATTAAAATTAGATCAATATTACCGTCTTATCAAGAGACAAACAGCAATCACTTCCTTTGAAATATTTCCAGAAGCCCGGGCGATTGTCCACATATATTCAGTTCGTAGATACATACCTAGAGCACCTGAAAAGATTTTTATTTTTAGACAATCGCAAAGTAAATGCAAGGCTGTTGCTCATATAAACCAAGTACAATTAATCTTTATTAACTGGATATTAAGTCATTAAGTTAATCAGAACAGGATTTTGCAAAAAATTTCAATTTAATAAATTAAAAAAATTAATCAATGAAGTAAGCAGTAAGGATGAAAATTATTGGAAAAGGAGGATTAGTCAACTCAATTGTCTAAATGAAAAGTGCAGATATTTTAAGGGACAACCAATGATCTCTATTTTACAATTTTCCAAAAGTAAAGACAGCTTAGGAAAAGTGGGCCCAAACCATTTGTAACACATGCTACAGCCAAGGGTTTCCCAAATTGAGGTATGCCGCAATTATACGCTCTCTCCTCTTCTCAATTAGTTCAATATATTATAAGTTCTCTTTTTTAAACGCAATTCTTCTCCTGTAAATTTTGGGAATATACCTTTGTAATGTAAATAGTTAAAAACTATTATTTATTCAATAAAATGTAATAATAATTTTGTTTACTATTTCAAACCTACAGAGTCTAAAATACTCTTTCACCCCACAGGCTCTTCCCGGGAAGGTGATAAAAAATTTTATCTTTAAAAAGTATCTCCATTATACAGTGCTTTTATTATTTGTTTGTGTTTCGGAATTAATGAGATCCGTGTAGATTCCTGGGTGCTCTTTGTCAATACTTCGACGGCTTCTTCAATTTCTTTTTCATTTTTTTAGTGAGATAGGAACTGAAAACCGCTGATTTAAGTTAGCTTGAAAAAGAAAGGAGAATCTTACAGATAAAAAGGAAATAGAATGACAGCTGCGGAGATGAGGATTCTCCGAAGATTCGAGGGAAGAAGAGATCGCATCCGCTATGAGAGGATCAGTGAAGGAGATCCTAGGAGCTCGTCAGCTAAACTGGTTGGCCATATCGTCTGAATGAAAGATTACAGAGATCCACTGAAAACTGGTGGTAGAAGGCCTTGAGGCCGACCAAGCATGTTCTACCTGGAATATGTCGACCGTTTATGCAAATGAAGAGGAAAATATACCCGTCAAGCCAGGATCCTGGCAAGAAACCGCGAAGAGTGGCAATCCTGGTTAAACTCTCTTCTATGCTGATATCCACAACCGTGTGACACATAAATAAATTAATTATATAAGCTAAAAGAATATCTTCTTCAATCTATTAAAACTTATTTTAATGATCTAGACGATGTCCGTACACACCTAGTCTGGATTTGCGCGTTTCCAGTTCCTATATGTCTCTCTCCCTCTCCCCTCTCTCTCACTCTCAGAAATATTTTTTATGTTTCCGGAATGTCATATTACGTATATAAAACACTAGTGTCTTCGACTACTATGCCTCATAATTTCAAAACAATACATTATGAACTAAAGAATGTATAAGGATATAAGTAGTTCTAGTTACTCATTACTTTGTAAACTACCAGAGCTTACCTAGTATAACTGTAAATATAAAGGTGGAAAATATTGGCGAGTTAGTGTTCCTATTTATGCGGCCAAAGACACTGAATATCATACCATCACGAGCCATTGAATATAAAAGTCTTGTAAGGAGGAACATAAAAGCATGTGCACTAAAACAAAAAAAAAAAAGTATTAATAAATAAATAAAAATATATATGTAATTTATTAGTTTCATGAATGATTTTAAAAAAATACTCATGATGGAGAAAAATATTTATAATAAAAAAATAATTGATCTTTGTAATAACAAATTTCATTTCTTTTACTACGTTTATAATTTGACTAATTGTAATCCAATATATTCTTAAATAATTTAATTTGTTCTGATTCGTAAATGAATTACAAAGAAAAGGAAGAAACATTGGCACTAATGTATAAATAATTGGTCATTAGATTGGTATGGATGACTGATAGACAACTTACTATATTTTGTTTAAAGAAATTTATAATGATGTTTTATATAGTGTAAATATGATTTAATTTCATCAAATTCCATCGGATGCTTTTGCTTTATAATGTGCAAATAAATTTTTCTTGACATGTCTGTATCGAAGCCGTGATGCCCAAGATTGTCAAGGCAAGCTATAGTTTTGAGGTGCCAGTCGAATCCGGGCAGGGAGATAGAAATTTATTTTGCAGCGAACTCATAGACTGAATCTCGATTTTTCTACTCTGACAAAAATAGGAAGTTTTCCCTTAGGACGACTCGCCTCCACTGTCCCTCTCTGTTTTCCAGAAATGGCCCGACAAATACGGTAAATTCCTTTGATTTTATTCTTTAGCGTGTTCACAATATCATTTATTTAGATTCAAACTAATTAGTGACCTTGAAATATAAGCAATTAATTATTCACTCTGTAGAATTAATAAGGAAGCTATATTGATTTTACTTGGCAGATGTCTTAAGTCGTATTTTCTCGGAATTCCCTCGCTACGTTTCGATAGCTCCTGAAATTCGGTTTGTAGGGTTTTTCTCTAGGCCAGAAAATGCCATAAATGTTTGGTTACATTTCGAAACTTCCAAGTTGGCTTTCACGTTTTAAAAAGTTTGCCCTCCTCTTTAGCACCTCCAAATAAAGAGGGTTGAGTTTTTTTATTTAAAATAAATCGTTCTTGCCTTTGTTGGTTTCAACTTTTCTCCCAATTTCGCCTTTTCAATTAATAAAATTCGAAAACAAATTACAAAATGTTAAAAAAAAAATGAGAAAGAAATTCAGCTTTTCAATGATTTTAAAATCCTATTTAATTTTCTTAGGGATCTATGTACCAATGCAACATTTAAATCGAATTTTGTCTGTTTTTCAAACATAGGATAGATAGAAACTATTGCTAATTAAAACTATGGCTACTAAAACTGTTGCTAATTTGTTTTCCATTAATATTACATTTTTTTACGATAACTAAATTTATAATTATTATTGAGCTGAAAATACCTGCTAAGATGGCCTATTATTGATGAAAATGCGCATAACCAAGGTAGTGGCATGGTTTTGAGTTGAGTCATGACATAGACGAAGGGAGCATTGATATCTGCAAAAAAATAAATCGAAAAACAAAAATTATGCAACAGTAAAATATAATAATATATGTATCTGTATCATACTAGCATTTGAATTGTTCTAACTAATCTACTTGTAATCTTTATATAATCAAGAAATAGTTAATAATTTATCAAGAAGATGATGGTGTTGTTGGCGGTATAAAATAACTGAAAAACAGTGTAATGTATATCTTGTTCTCTACAGCCCTGAAGAGGGGCTACAATGTGAATCGACAACTCGGCATTCAATAAATAGTTTCTAATATTTTTGGGTGTTATCCTTGACGGCAATCTGGCCATCTTTTCCTTGATTGTGAATGCGTAAATTCTTAAATGTATAATATAAAATTTGTTTTTGTAATCTGACAAAAGCACCAAATAAAAGCTTACCCACTTCATCGACAGGCCAAGTCAAACAGTGTAGAAAGGAAACTGAACAGTAAATTATAACGGTGGCTTTGCTAGCAAACAAGATACTTTTCGGTATATTAATAGTCGGATTTTCAGTTTCTTCACCTAGACAATAATTTGAGTATGTACATTTTCTTACAGAAACAGGGAGTAATTATTAAAAGAGTATATCGAAATATATCCTGTCAATATTTTTCAAATATATTGGATATATTAAATTCGATACACGGAAAAATATATTGGATATTTCAATACGCTGGACATTGATATTTTTAGTTTATTTTTACATTCATACTACCCTCATCTTTCTTATTTTAAATTTAGTTTGTGGTGATTCCGTGATGGATACACTGTGTTAGCTCAGTCTGCAAAAACGTGCTTTTATGTAGACATGTACTGCGCTACAACCTTGTGGCACAAGCGATAGTTTCATGAAAACAAGAATTTAAAAAAATGGAATTAAATAAAACCTAACTACACGTTTTGCAGACTGAACCAACACAGTGTATCCACCACGAAATCACCACAAACTAAATTTTATCCGCTGTCTCAAAGTTACCCAACCAGTCCCAAATATACCCCATCTTACAGCATACCAATTGTTAACAATTTCCCTTTCTAGACCCTAAACTTCCTTCGTCCTCCAGATTCATAATAACTATTTATTCTTGCAGATATTTAATCTCATGCTCCTTTGGACAAACCACTCTTGTAGTCACTTTCTTCTAGTTACAATTTTAGGATTTTTACAATCCTGTATCCATAAACTTGTCAACCTCTTGTAGGAGGTCTGGAATTAACTGTTGTAATCAACACCGATACTCAAAGTGTAATTCTGTTCATACGTAATTGGCATAAATAAAAGTGACATTTCTAAAATCTTCACTGCCTGTGTTTTGTTAAATAGGATATAGCTGGGTCGAAATTGATGACGAATTTCCGAGCACGTCCTCTCACATCAAAGCCAATTCCAAAACTATGGAGGTTATCATGACATCAATAATATAGGAGGTGAAATTTCTTTACGAGTTCCTTTACCTAGAACTTCCTAAATTCCTGCTTTTTTATGTTTGTCAAGTTTCATAAGCAGTGCTCTGAGTGCTCCTAGTTTAGATAAATAAAATATTCAAATAGGCAAATTTTAGCTCAATATGGAGGTTCTTAAGTCGTTTACTTTGAGACAATCTGGCTTCTTTTTTTAAGTTGACGTTTCGTGATGATTATCTTAATTAATAGGTATGTTTCATACAAATATTCTCCATGGTAGTCCCTTGGAAGGTGGAGTGCAGGTGTAGAGAGACGGTTTTACCACAATGGGTACAAATCCCATAACGGATAGGTACGGAAGCATGTGCGTCTTTTTGAAATATTTTAAGTGCTCTCATAGGTAATTAAACAAAAAATTAAAAATAAAACACGTGCCATTCTGCGAGACTTAGTCATTTGGTCTCAAAGAACCTCAAAACTTGTGTTTCCGATGAAAAACTAGATTTAAAAATTTTCAAGACCAATACGTCCCCTTACTACAAGTTTATATTTCATATACATATAAGTAAATGAAAGTAAAAAGTTATTAGCGTTTTATCAGATGAAAGTTTTAAATCAAGCAGTTCATTAATAAGTGGGTTTCAACAAAATGACGACACATTGATTTGCTTCTGAACTCTCCAATTAATTGTAATTAATAAATTTAGTTTTGAATAAAATAAACCAAATTCTGTTCCTCTTTTACATACCTGTCCGACGATATGTGTGAACATACTAAAAGTATCTACTCCATTACATACCTTTGGCAATCCTTCAGGCGTCATTCTTTTCAAATGCCCAAACCAGCATAATGTTTCTTTCCACCTTCATCATTTCTAGATTAAATCAATTTTAATTTTTCCCTTCTGAACTTTCTTACTTCCATTTTCCAAAAGTCCTACTATTGGTAACAGTCTTTTCCGTTTTGCTTTGATGACCCATGCCTCCGTGGCATGTCATTATTGGCTCGAATATAGCCTTGTATATTAGCCTCTTCGTACTAAGCTGTGTATTCGAGCTCCAAAGTGTACCGTTGAGTATTGTCCTGACTTTTCTTCCTTCGCCATTTCTCCTGTCAATATCATTGATGGATGTGCCTTTTCTATTAAATATTCATCCTAGGTATTGAAATTTCTCTGCTGTTTTTATTACTCCTTCAATAGGTGTGTCATCAGATGAAGTGGAAAGGTGTTCTGTTTTCATAAATATAATACTCAACCCCCACTTTTAATGTGTCTCGAGAGACTTGACTCTAATTTGACGTTGCAGACATTATTATGGTAAATTTCCTTTATTATATGCTCTGTTATATTTGCTTCCTTGAGAGCTTCCCATAATAGCCTCCTTGGAACTAAGTCATATGCCTTTTTCAGGACAATAAAGAGATATTTTATTAATTTTTCGAAGATCTGTCTCATTGCATCAATGTGATCGATGCACGATCTTCCGACGTTAAAGCCATTTCGCTCTCCTGTACCCTCATATTTCCTTTCTATCTCACTTTTAACAATTCTTCCTAGGAATTTCATGCAACGGTTGGTAACACAGAAACTTCTATAGTTTGTGCATAATGTTTTATTATTTATTTTTTTTATTTTATTTTCAACCCTCCCCTGCCTGAAGGCAATACGGGTATTTGCAGTAGTGGGATGTTACTGTTACATAACAACCCACTGCTGCATTTTTGGCTATTACATTATTTTTCTGAGCTGTGCACACAGCTTGCTCTTCTCTTCACTTGCATCTGGTATACTTTTATTCTTATTCTGGTGGTCTCCCCGGTGCAGCTTCTCTTCTTCTTCCCAAAGAGAAGTGGGTTGGTAGAACAACTTCTTTCCATCCGTATATAAAACTTTTAAAATGATCGTATCTTTCTTTGTCCATAAGTTGAGGAAGATCTCTCTCTGTTAGGACAAAGAGACCTGTTTCTCTCAACAGTTTCGCCCTCAGTGACTCATAGACCGTACAGGTAAGCACAACATGTTCAGCGGTCTCCGGTACCCCACAACTTGGGCATAGGGGATCGATATTTATACCATACTGAACGAGCTTTGCTCGGAAACCCCCATGCCCCGTGAGAATCTGTGAAATCCAGTAGTCCGGGAGGACCCAAGTCGCTTCTAGTCGCGAACTGACGGTGGGGAAGTACTTCCTTAGAGTAGCTCCTTTGGGAGTCGTCAACCACCGTCGGTTCCAGTCCTCTACTGTATCCTCCCGGAGAATCTTCTTCCAGTTTCTTGGATCATCTCTTATTCTCACTCGGAGGTAATCCGGTAGAGCCGCTAAGCATTCTCTCCTAATCTTATAACGGTAGTAGTCTTCTCTCAGCAGGAGGTCGAGAGGTATTCCTCCTGCCAAGACCTGCACAGCCTCATGAGACACCGTCCTGAATGATCTGGATACTCGAAGCAGAGCCATCCGCTGAATCGTGGCCAACCTACATTTCTGTCTGTGCGAGAGATTTTGGCTCCAGGCAGGGGACGCATACCTCAGGATACTCACAATAACACCTTTATAAATGGTCATAGTTGCTGGGTACCTGAGTCCCCAAAATGCGCCCCCAATACGACTGAGTCCGTTAAGGGTTAGGGCTACTCTACTTCTCAAGTAGTCCAAGTGAGGTGTCACGTTGAACTTTCTTCCTATCCTAATCCCAAGATAGGTGACAACCTCACTTGGACGTATTCTTGATGCTTGTACAACCATTGTTATAGGGTGAGCCCTATCAGTCGTGCCTTTCAAGAGGATGGCCTGAGTCTTAGCGGCGGCCATCCTGAATTTCTTCTTCTCGCACCACTCTTCTACTAAGTTGGCGCACCTTTCAGCTTCTTCTTTCAGTCGGGCTCTGCTGTTCGAGGCTACCACAACGGCCAGATCATCCACATAAGCCGTAGCGGGGAACCGCTCCTCTTCTAGTACTCCCAACAACTCATTGAAGACTAAATTCCATAGGGCAGGACCTAGAACAGAACCCTGGGGACAACCTCTTTCCATGGAGTCTTCAACTTCGAAGAAGTTACCCCGGATTCTTAAAGTTCGGTCCTGAAGATAGCTCCGTAATAGCTCGTACAAGTTGCTGGGAGCTTCATACTTCTGCAACTGCTGGAGTACGCAAGGCCACCAAACACTATCGAAGGCGGAGGAGATATCAAACAGGAGGAGCATAACATACTTCTCCGCCTTCTCTTCGACGTCATTGCGCACTCTTAGCAGGGCATCCACGGTTCCCCTACCCTTAGTGGATCCGTACTGCCGTGGATGGCTCGCTCTTGAGAAGACTGGTCGTAGGCTCACCAGGAGTAGGTTCTCTAGCACTTTGCTCATAACAGGGAGGAGACATATAGGCCTATAAGACTTGGCTAATTGCTTGTCCTTGTCTCCTCCCTTGTAAAGGAGCCTTATGTCGGCAATTTTCCAATTTCGTGGAAAGTATCCCCTATCAAGGCAATCATTGAATAACTCCAACAACGTATCTTCGATATAGGGGATACTATTCTTTAGCATAGCCGCATCGATTGCGTCTAAACCGGGAGCACGACCAGTCCTTTGCCTGTCCACAGCAGCACGGAGATCCCATATGTCCCATGGTGGGCACAAGTCCGTACCAGGTGGACATACCGTAGTGCGCCTTATGAATTCCTCTTCTTCATTATCTTGGGACGGATCATCTCTGGGGTAGATTTCTGCTATAAACATCTTCGATGTCTCTTCCAGAGTGGTTGCATGGGTAGCTCCGCACTTGAGCGCAGCAATCACTTGTTGTGGTGTCAGCTTACCCAGAGCCACTCTGTAAGGAATACCCCAAGGATTCTTTGATGACTCCTCAACAATGAACTCGTCCCAAGACTTCCGCTTTTGTAAGCGCACCTCATTTCGATATGCCCTGGCTTTAGACTTGTACTCGTCACGAAGTGTAATGCGCCTCTCGTCACAAATACACCTCTGGTACGACCGCCGGGCCTTGTAGAGCTCTCTCTTCATCATAGTTAAGGCCGGCGTCCACCATGGGACAGGTCGAACTCTCGCCTTCCGATGCTGGAGGGATTCTTCAGCAGCATCACGGATGACAGTTGTGATCCTGGATACTCTGTAATCCAGATCATGAGTCTGATCCATGTCAGCCTCATCCCATTCCTCATCAACCAATTTTCCCTCCAGAGTCGACCGGAAGGCGCTCCAATCTTTTCTTCGGGTTATGTAACCCTTGTCTGTGCCGTGGGAACTAAATGAACTTTCCACCAGCCTAAAAGATATCGCCTGATGGTCGGAACTCGTCTCAGATCGAAGGGTCCAATCGATGATGCGGTTTGCCAGCACCGGTGATGCCAAAGTCACATCGATCCAGCTGTGGCCTCTTGCACTGGAGAACGTTGGAATAGCGGAGGAATCGTTTATGACTAGTAGCTGGCTCCTTGCTATAAATTCACCAAGCTGGACGCCTCTTCTATTGGTTCGATTGGACCCCCAGACCGTGTTCCAAGAGTTGGTATCTGAGCAGATGATCACGTTCCGAGTGCAAGCCGTGATCATCTCCACAGCGGTTATGTCCCTTTCTATGTCATTTCCATCAGGCATGTATGATGAAACTAGCGTAAAGGAAATATTACGCCACTTGATATGACATGCGACACAATCCGCCGTGGTATACTGCCTCAGATCCATCACATCGAGGTTAGGATTATTAATCACAATAGCAGCCCTGGGCCTCCTCTCTCTACTGCCCAAAGCTATAACTCTCGATGTGAGGCCAAACCCCGTTACTAAGTTCCCACGGCAGGTCGGTTCTTGAACCGCCATAACATCGTAGCGCGGATAAAGAGCCCGGAGTTCGTCTGCCACTATATGCCGGCGCCCCATGTTGAGCTGGAGGATGGTAAGCTCACTCATAAAAGGTCCTCTTCGCTACCTCTTTAGCCCACTTCAGGTGCACAGGGCACTCCCGACTTCCCGCCTTGTGCTTCCTTTGACTAGCAGGCGCATTTACCCGCTCGCAGTAGATGCACGATGGGCTAGCCAGTTCTTTTTTCTTAGGGCAATCTTTTATAACATGGCCAGTGGAAGCGCACCAAATGCAGACTACGGCATTTGATATGCAAGTGGCCTTAGTGTGACCATATCCCTGACATTTACTGCATCGAGGAGCGTCGAGGTAGTCTTTGATTGTAATACTCCACCATCCTCCATCTAAGCTTCCTATTTCCAACAGCAGGAATCGAACTGTAGGGTGCACTTCTATCACCCAATTCTTTGTAAAGCCATTTCTTGCCATTGAGGAAAAAAGTGGCCGGATATCATCAACGACCAGCGGAGTGGGGACCGACTTCTCGGGTATTCTTTCCCATAAAAATCTCACCAACTCCGCTGAATCCCATGAGAGGGGGACGCCCTGAACCTCCAATCTAGGTTTCTTCCTCAAGGCAAGTTTGGCTTGAAGGCCACTGTCTCTTAGCCCTTGCCATCCAATCACCTTCGTGGCATCACTACTATTATCCATGCGGACCAACACGGAGCCAGTCTTGGTCGTACGGACAATGGAGGCCTTTACTCCAATTTCGCTTGGTGAAGGCAACCCATTGATTATATCTGCTGGTCTCTTGCCAGTTCCGCTTATAGTGATATAAGTCGATCTCTCAGTTTGAGTTGGCTTTGTAGGCAAAGATTTCACAATATCCGCAATGGTTATTGGTTTCTCTTGCCGTCGTTGTTCTAGAGCTTTCGGTTCTATTGAGATCACTCTGTTTGACGAAGTAAGTGCTTTATTAGTAGCTTTAGTTTTTTTCCTCCTTCTCTTACTCTTGACGGTTTCGAATCTCTCTGTTAACTCCGGACAATGATCCATATCTTGATTAGCAAGTTGGTGCTGTTCTCCAGAGGGTCCTGCCTTAGGCTGTAAATGTTGAGGTGCTGAACTTGAAAGAGCCTCCAAAACCTTTGGCACAGAAGCCTCAACGATAACTTTGGTTAACATGTCATGCACCTTTTCCGATGACAATGTTTCATTTATTGCTCTTTGGACAAGGGTAAGTACACTGTCATAACTATCTTGAGTATCTTCGTCTTCTGAGGTCTCAATCATCTTAACAAGACATTGAATCTTGTTGCTAATATGGTCCCTAACACTACTTACGGGCTTGTTTTCATGTTTGACCATGTATAAACGGAGATTCTCCTGTATTCGCTTGGCTTCAAGAAATAGATTAGAGCCCTCTTCCAATTTCTTTTTAGCAACAGGGGAACCCTTCCTGGCCCTCTTTATCGTACGTTTTCGTTCTTTACGAGGTTCCACTCCTTCAACTATATTATCATTCAACATAGTAAATTAAAAGTGACGTAACCTTTAAATAAAAGAAAACTTACTTATCTTTCCTAAAGAGTCTTTCGGCTTCCTAGGGAAGCTTAAGGTAGTTTTAGCTACCAAGGGATCGAATAGTTTTACTTAACACACTTTAAAACTATTTTCTGGAAAAATGTTAAGTAGTAGATAAAAGGTTATAGTGAAATAAACTTGACGAGTCTTACACTGACACTTACCTTAAGGTACGACAATGTCTAACCCAATATTTCACTACTGAAGAACTTTACAAAACGTACTACAGAAATAACACTTAAAAGAAACACTTAACCTAACAGTCCAAAACTATATACACCAATAAAACGAAATTAACAGGAACAGTAACGACAAAATAACATAATTAATGAACAAACTAACAGAAACTTATTATGAAATAGAACAATTAACACAAAAAAACACTATAAATAATTAGAAAATACGTAATCAAAAGCTATAGGCAATTACCTAATGTTTTATTACCTTTTTATATATATGGGAAATAGTTATCCTAATTTCATTTCATTCGGCACTTCATTTCCAGCTTTTATCTATCAGATAGGATCCTGTGAGGATTATGGTCAATTTTTCACCACCATATTTCAGGATTTCCAGAGGTACTCCACCAGGTCCATTCTTACCAGCTTTTAAGGCTTTTTTAAAATCTTCGGTGGATATTTATATATCTTTGTGTTGGTGTACAGTTTCCTCTTTGAAATCCTTTCGGTCTCTCTTTAACAGTTTCTCAAAGTATTCCTAGCAATCCTCAATACCAATTAATTATATATTGGTTTTATGGTCTGTTTTCTCAATTTTTTAAGGACATTTCAGGCTTCTGTGGATTTCATATACCCCAGTTGTGCATTAATATTTCCACACATTATTTCCCATTCATTTCTTTTTGCTTTCTATATGTCGTAGTTAAGGGTTCTTTTGAAAGAGGTGTACTTTGTTCGACTTAGACTGTCCTTAATATACAGCCTTTGGAGATACGCTTTTTTCTTCTCGTTTACCGGAAGTATTATCTCCTAATTCATCCAATTGTTGGTGTTTTTCACAAGAAATTAGTCGGGGGTGTGGTAAAAACAAATACTATATTATATTTTATTATATTGTACAACGACTGGAAGTCGCCTTATAGCCTTAAACAATGCCTGACTGAATGCCCTGAGGAAGACCTAGGTCGAACGTAGGTCGAAACGTTGGACAATATAATAAAATATACTATTGTATGATATAGTATTTTTTTTACCGCACCCCCGACTAATTTCTTATGAAATTGAATCCACTGTCAACCATCTCCATATCATCGTTGGTATTTTTCATATGGAAAGTTTCTTCTCCTAGAACTTCACTGGCTATTTTGCCAACCATTGATATGATCTATTTATACATTTCTTTAGCGTTCCCATCAAAGATTTCCTCAAGCTCCTGGTCTATTCTTCGTTCATACAACCAATGTATTTTATGATTTCCTCCTGCAATGGCTTAACATAATATTTTTTCTGTATTAATTTTAATGGTTATAAATGGTTTTTCCCACGCCAAGAGTATGATCTCAGCCTCATTCAGCTCCACTATAAACCCCAACGTTGTGGAATTCTCTAAAGCTAGTTTCTCTCCTTATAATGATTTCAATCATAGATCTTAAATTATTATTTAGACCATAATTAATTAAGAATTTATTTACTTATAAAACATACGGGTACATTAGTAATAATTTGTTAATTTAATAATTAGTTAATATATCATTATTTGTTATTTATAAAACGCACCTAGACAAACAGCTGCATCGTATCCAGTGAAACAATAATGTGCGAAAAAAACACCTTCATACATAAAAGACAGTTTTGACAAGTCTTGGGGAAATAGATGGTCTTTGGTTTTTGGGTAGTTTATGGAAAAAATGTATATAATTGTGATGATAGATACAGTCAATAGGTTGATTCCAATCATAATATTGGTAGCTATAATAGACTCTTTTGACAATGATATCGTTCGCCCTGAAATGTAAAATATTACTATTCTTTTCATTACAAAACTATTATATTTCAGTAAAAATCACTAGAAATAATCAATGAAACTTTTTTAACAAAAAAAGTCAACTTCTACTTTTATCCAACTCTCTCTCTCTCTCTAGAGAGAGAGAGAGAGAGAGAGAGAGAGAGAGAGAGAGAGAGAGAGAGAGAGAGAGAGAGAGAGGAGAGGGAGAGGGAGAGGGAGAGGGAGAGGGAGAGGGAGAGGGAGAGGGAGAGGGAGAGGGAGAGGGAGAGGGAGAGGGAGAGGGAGAGGGAGAGGGAGAGGGAGAGGGAGAGGGAGAGGGAGAGGGAGAGGGAGTTAGAGAGAGAGAGAGAGAGAGAGAGAGAGAGAGAGAGAGAGAGAGAGAGAGAGAGAGAGAGAGAGAGAGAGAGAGAGAGAGAGAGAGAGATTTACCACTCTCCTTCCCGGTGTAGGGAGCGCACAGTGGGGCGAATAGCCGATCTAGGAGGACGAAATTCATTGAGCATAATTTTCAGATAAAAATCACATACTTTTCCCAAATCTTATATATACAAATAAAACATCTATAGTCTTAATTAAGTCAATATAAGTTTAATGTATGGCGAAAATTTTATTTTTAAGAAAATTAAAATTTATAATCATAATTCCTAAGAATTAATAATAAACTAACAATAATATTAATAGGAAGGAAACCATTCCTCGCTGTTAAGGCTATACGGGGTTTTCCCGGGCCAGGGGGTGTGGACGGGGATTTAAAAGACGCCTTGGCACCGGGACGCGAACTCGTGACTATTTTTATAACATTTGTCATATATATAAAAATGATTTGCATTTTTTGAGCAACGGTGGTGCTGTGCACAACGCGTTAGTCCATTCGGCCACCCCGCCCACCATAGAAAGGAAACTATCATGGAACTATTCAAATGTATTTAATCTGATTTCTGGATCCTATAATCAACATCATTAGATAGCACACACTCTGTGACTGAAATCCCTCATAATACTTTTCTAACTGCAATTTAAATTTCTCTTTTATTTCTTTTTTTTTTTTTCTTTTCTAGTTAACACAGTGTATAAATATTTGTCTCTTTCGAAAATTCATAACCCCGTAAAAAGGCGCGACTTACGCCATGCAGGACCCTTCTGGGCGCCCCTACTGTATTATATCTGTACTTTAAGCTCATTAGTTTTTTCGAAGTAAACAAAAAAACATTATTTGATCTCCATGTTTCCTCGAAGTCTCGAGATGACTGATGGTTGTTATCAGATCTATAAAATATGCTTCAGCTACGACACATTTCTCTAAAAAAAAATAAAGAAATCATTTTCTGATTATTTGTTTAACACTCATTTATTTCGTTTGTAAATAGGCCTATGTTTTATTTAACACCTATATAAGTTGTATTATATAATTCGAAAGGTTTTTATAAGATTAAAAGAAACAGGATTCCAGAACTTTTGTTTACGTTTTACGTTGAAATCATTTTACAAAACAGTGCTTAGCGCAGAACTGCGAAAAGTTATTTGATTTTTTTTTTTTGAAAGAATATAAAAATGCAACAAAATGAAAAAAACAAAACAAAAGTTGCGGAAGGAAACGGGAAGGATATTTTATAGACTATAGAAGTGATGTTTATGTATTTCAAAGGTTTGATAATAGATATTTTTTAAATTAAATTTTAATAAACATCAAACTGGTTGAATCTAAATTAATCCAGTGAAAAATAAAAATAGATAACGAAATTATCAATGCAATCTTAAAAAATAACGCACACAGGCACTGGCTTAAACTATAAATAAAGTAATACTGGAAATATTTGTCAACTGGTGGGACTGAAGGCCTGCTCTCCTAAACCTCACTCTTCCGTACCCTAGAATGAGGGTTTGAACTTTTACTAGGGCACTTTTCAGGTCCCCAATTATCTATAAAAAAGATATTATATTACATTACTCATATTTTGAAAGTTGTTTTTGTCCTCCCAGATCGGCGATCGGCCCCCCACTGGGGCGGCGAGTGAGTTCGGTGAGTTACAGGGTAGGAGAGAGGGGGAAAAGGAGAAAGAGGTGGAGAAATTTAGAGAAAGGGGGTAGAGTGAAGGGTAGGGATGAGAGTGAAAGGTGAAGAGGAAGAAAGAGAATAAACAAAGAAGGGGTGAGTGAGGAACAATGATGGAGAGATTATTAATATGAATTAGACTACAAACCTGCTACTACTAGAATTATTAAAACTGATATTACATCGGGGTGTGTATTAATAACGTCAATAAAACTCTCTAAAGATTCTAACGTTAGTTTGTGCTTTGAAGCAATCCCAATTTTGCCTTCAAAGAATGTGTGGTCTATGTACATGCTTAAATATCTGGAAGCGATAATGAGATCTGAAAAGGATATAAGAGGATTAAAATACTATTAGTTTTACAACTTGGTTACTTCAACTGATTATTCGTAAATTTAAATATTTACCCACTATTAATTGAAAAGTAATCATAAATAATAGATAAAAATAAAACAGATTTTATTATTGCATTCATTTTTAAAATAAAGACAATAATTTTTATTTATTGCTTCGTCACTACCGAAGGTAGAGAAGAGTTGTATTCGTACGAGAGAAAAAAAAAATGTTGTGCTCAGAATCGAAAATTTTCATTCACGTTTTACGTTTCAGACATCAAGGATCAAATTTGTCTCTATGTCTGTCTGTAGTCAAATCGATGTAACGGTCATATCACCTACTACCGTTCTTCCAATTTTCATGAAATTTTCAGGAATTGGGTGGGTTGGTGTCTAGTTGGATCCATATCAATTGTATTAAATTCTAAGCAGGACTTCCGCTTACCCACGCGCAAATGTATTTTTGTATATATGCCAATATTTCAGAAATGGCTGGTTCGATTTGACTCGAAATTGAATAAAAGGTAGGTATTTACGAACAAATAATGTAGGTTCAATTTTATCGAATTCTGCCCGTTGCTTACTTCTATATATGCGCAAAGGTGCTTTCGTTGATACGGTAAATCTCTAAAACCGCAAGTTCGATTTGGCTAACATTTTGAGGGAATTTAGAGATTGGTCAACGTAAAATGAAATAGGCATCAATTTTATCAAATTCTATCTACTACTCCAAAAAAAAATTCTTCCCCTTTCAGATCAGGAAATGTGTTATTTGATATGCCTATAGTTTGAAATTCATGAATTACTTAGTAACAATTTCATTGAGTTCCATTTAATAATTAAAATTAATATAAATAATTATTAGCAATATAATGCCTGCAAAATGTTGAAGACACTGATCATATCGAGTGGGAATTAAGTTATTACAATATTGTTATAGGGTCATAAAATTTTAGATTTTATTCAAAAAGTTAATTTATACTGTATTGTTTGATCGATTGCAAACGTTACTGGCATGATACTTATTGCCATTACATAGATTTCGTGTAATTTTTAGCAAATTTAAAGTAATTATACTCTGAGTTTGTAAAAAAAAATACTTGTGATTTGTGATTGTGTTTATTTCCATTGAAGTTCAACCAATCGTCTTGGTTTCGATTTCCTCCTTAAATATCGAAGTTATGCGAACTTCACCCATATTTTTATATTTTCTAGCTAAAAGCTGTTTGTTCTGACTGAAGGAAAGTATTGGTCTCGTTAACTTTCCTCAAGCCGTTTTTCCAATTTCGACCATATCCCGTTATTGATGGTTAGTGAACATTTTTAATATTAGTTATCCATTCCACACAGACAGGCCTGGTCTGGTCAGGTCGGCTAGACGACGATCGCCGAGGCCCCTCGAATCCTGGGTCCCCTGATACGCCCCCGATATTTTGTTGTTTTTCCAATGTTTTGTTTTTGTTTATAGTCATAGAATGATTGTGGGGCCCTTCTGGGGATCCGAACATCATTGTTTGTATGTAAGTAGTATTGATGTATGTTTGGCTACAAAAATAATTGTATACGCTTATCCCTGCATATTTGGGGGCGAGGTGGCCAAACGGGCTAACGTGTGTACACAGCACCGCCGTTGCCTGGCGACCTGATATAGATGACCAGATAAAAGATAATCACGAGTTCGCGTCCCGTTGCCGAGAGAGTCTTTTAAATCCCCGCCTTCACTCCTTCGGTCCGATAAAATCTCATATAGCCTTAAAGAACATGAAGGGGAGAACCCCCCAAAAAATCAGTGTATAATAAAAACAAAGTCAACGCTGTAGAACGCTGTTTTTCTTGTACCGTGGTATGTTTGGCCCCGCAAATAAATCTTTCGTATTCCTTTATATCTTTTTTTTTTTACTCTCCTCTGATGGGCCCCCAATATAAATGTTTTGTTCTTATTTATAGCCATGAAATGATTTGATCCTGAGGATCATCGTTTGTATTCAGCGAGTACCGTTGTATGTTTGGTTAGAAAAATAATTGTTTTGTATTCGTTTATTCCCGCATATTTTTCGGGTCACTACACATAAATTATTTGTATTTTTTTATCGCCATAGGATGATTAGGAGGTTCCCTATTTTTTATATTTGGTCGCCAAAATAATTGTATATATATATATATATATATATATATATATATATATATATATATATATTTCTTTATTTACTTATTTACTTCGTACTGATAAGGGAGCCCTCCTTCAGAAATGAGCCGAGGGCCTCAAACGGCGCCTCGACTCGACCTGGACACAGAATTCGATATTCTTCAATATTTAGGATAGAATAGTTTTCTCTAGGAAGCACCGTTTTGGATCAGTAACTGAAATATCCATAAAAATTCCATGTTTGATTGGCGATTATTTTGTATTCCGGCGGGTTCGTGCCTTCAGATTTCTATTTTTGTAGATCTTCAAATTATTTAATTATTTGAAATGACAATTTGTTGTAAATAAGTCACTTTTTTATTCCTGGACCTTATTACATACAGAGACTATATGAACAGCCCGTAAACATCCGTAAGGAAAAACTGCTGAAGGCTATTACGTCAGCATATTTTTGGATAAATATTGCATTCGGTCATTATAACTGAATTTCAGGGACAAACTTTTAAGCCTATTGGTGTAAGGTTAAAAAAAAAAAAAACCTAAGACTAACATAAAATTAAATGATGCCTTATACAGATAAGGTTATTGAAAAAAACCTGTATATGCTCGTACTTATCATAAACCTTAATCTTACGTTAGAAGTAACGTAAATTTTCTTTAAGCAGTTAAAAAAAAAAAATGTAGGTACTTTTTGCTTTAAAAAAGTATTGTAAACAAATCAAACTAAAAATGCTTTTAGTACATTGGCATACCTGAGAACGTGCGCCCTGGATACCTCGACAGGATTTCTTAAAAAATTGAATGGTAACTTTATTGCAGAAGAAAAAACTTTATCCATTCCTTAAAAAATATATCTATCCCACTTAGGACCACAAATGTATCACTTAATATATTCATTAAATGAACTTTACGAAATTCATTCAGAACGAAATATAATATAATACGAAATATCATTATAAGATCCTTTTAATTCACTGCATTTATCTTAAGATACCTTTCATTTGTATCTCAATGAGAATAGAGTTGAAGAAGTCCTTTATTGTATATATTTTATTGAATACTTAATGGTTGACCGTTGTATATTTTAGAGGAAGAAGATGGTCCGGGGTGACGGTCCTAAATAGACTAAAATAGTAAAAAAACTGTGGGAAATAAAATATTTTTTCCACTATTTTAGTCATTTTTTTGATTGCCAACCCGGACCCTCTCCTTCCTTTGTATATATTTTAATTTATACTTAGTTTTCCCTAGCTTACTTTAATTTAACGTTTCATATAATGTGTGGCAAACTTCCTTCCACACCTGAACCTAGTATAAGATATCCTGGCCTTTCTTATCGATTTGCCACAAGTCACTGAAATAATCAACGGCGTTTGCGATAAGGGTTCCCACATTAAGGAAATTGTGGCCAAATATCATATTTTTAATAAACCCCTCTCCCACTTAGCCCATATAAAGTACGATATAAATATATATAAGGAAGTGGCTCCAGCTCAGTTTACTCTAAGGCATCAGTGGTTGATTATTTGTGCTCAAGAATTCGAAGTAAGGTGAACTATTTGTTTTCTTATTTTTTCTTATCTCCCGTTCTTTTATTATAAAAAAGAAAAGCTTCATTTAAAAAATAATTATTTATCTATGATTTATATGTGTTTAAAGTAATAATAAAACAAAAAAACATGAATTGTATATGAAATAATAATTAATAAGCAGATTTTTGGCTGATAAGGAAGGTTGGAGGTACAACCCTTTTTCCTACCAAACTAAGGCATGGGCAATAAAAATGTCTTCTTTAAGTTATTTTAATATGCTTAGGAATATTATTTGGAGCTCACAATGCCTAGTATACAGAACAACGGTTTTAAAAAAATGCTTTAGCGCTATACAGGAATAATAAAAATTAATTGAATCTCACTGAAATTTTAAATAGTCTTAATGATGTAGAGATGGTTGACCGTTGATATGATATGAGAAGGAGTTAGTCGAGGGTGCGGTCAAATAAATAAAAAAATTAAAATATATAAATTGTTTTAATTTTTGCCGACGTTTCGACCCACTTTGCAGGGTCTATATATCTATATATAGTACAACCTGTTTTTTGTTTCTTTATCATCATAACCTTGTTTTTACATTTATTCTTACATTTTAAAGTATTCTTTTAAAATTATTGTTTTCTTATAGAGTTATTTATACTTAATAATCTATCCCAACAATATTACACTAATGTTACCCTATTAATCTTTCAATTTCTTCACTTCTTAACCTTTGGTCCCCTTATCTGTTTATTTACAATTAAAGGTAACCTCCACTTGCTTGTTATCCACTGATATCTTATTATTATGTTATCTTATCCATATTCTAACTTTACTGTAACAATAGTTATTCAATTTTCAATCTATTTATCCGTTAACATTCATTTATTCGTTAACATTCATGTATTTATTTTCTTTTATCTATTTTCTTATCATTTATTTATTTTCTTTATCTTTTATTTCTGTATCTGACAACTTCTTCGTATTTTATATATTCTTATATTTACTTTTTATTTTATTTTTATTTCTTCAACATGTTTGTATCTTTTGTAGCCCTGAAGACGACCTGCAAAGTGGGTCGAAACGTCGGCAAAAATTAAAACAATTTATATATTTTAATTTTTTTATTTATTTGACCGCACCCTCGACTAACTCCTTCTCATTAAATAGTCTTATTAGACGAAAAGATTAATAGGATTTTAATAAATTTTATCTTGTTTAATTGTGCTAGATATTTATTTATTCTTTGATATGTTCTAAGAATACTGTTCTTTCAATCTGACAAATTTAATAATGTTTTGCATCCGGTTTGGTCCTACACTCTATAACATAATGGATTGTTCATGATTTTTCTCTGCCATTAAATATATTTATTCATTTAATGTTGTATGTGTAATCATTGTTTTCTTCTTCCTTTTTTTTTTATGATTATTCATGTTTTTGGACTAACGACTGCTAAATAATTTTAAGTTACTTTATCCATCCAATTTAGTTTTATTCATCTAATTCTTCTGTTATGAATATGAATATTTTCATAAGAATTTTTATATAAATATATAATCTTTCTTATTCCAACAGCACCATGTCGCAAAAGGCAGCTAACATCCTGAAACTGTTCGACCGCCCTACCGAACCTTCTTTCATGCCGAAGGGTAATGACAATACAGTCTTTGAAGCTCCTTCCAAGTACCTTGTAAATATTTAAAAGTTATACTTATCGATCATTTTCCTGTATTTCGCATTGTATTTGTCTCATTTATATGTTTATTATTTTAGAATGACCGTTTCAAACCGATAAAGAGCGACCTGGAGAACCGATTCGGTTCCTCTAACAAAATCCAAGTTAAGGACATCAACTTGCCCGACCTCTCCCTGCCTGAGATGCTTCCTCGCAGGTCCAACTTCTCCCTCTTTATCCCGTCTCACCGGAAGATGGCAGCGCGGATGATCGAGGTCTTCGTTGGTACGCCTAGCTCATATTATCAATTTTCTGTTTAGGTTTTATACCCGTTAAGAATATTTGAAATCCAATCCTGTTCCAGGAATGAGATCCTTGGATGACTTCATGGCTGTTGCCGTATACTGCCACGATCGAATGAACCCTTACATGTTCATATACGCCTTGTCTGTTGCCATCCTCCATAGACCAGACACTCAAGGATTGCGGATACCTTCCCTTTGTGAAGTGTTTCCTGACAAATTTATGGATCGCGCCTTGTTCTCTCAGGCGAGGGAAGAATCAAACTTAGTACCTGAAGAATCGAGGGTATTATCCTTATAAATATAATTATGGGATATTTATAATTATCTTATAAATATATTTTTCCTCTTCTTTTTTGCTTTGTTTTTGTAGATTCCATTAGAAATTCCTAGAGATTACACAGCCTCCGATCTCGACATTGAACACAGAGTGGCATATTTCAGAGAGGATTTAGGAATCAATCTACACCATTGGCATTGGCATTTGGTTTATCCATTTGATGCTCCTCGTGAAATAGTCAACAAAGATAGGAGAGGAGAACTTTTCTTTTATATGCATCAGCAAATTATGGCTAGGTGGGCAAACCACTATTATATTTGAATTTATTTCGCTCTGTATGAATGTTTGGCCATAAAATGTTTATTTTGTTTTTCTCAGATACAATATGGAGAGGCTCTGTAACAACCTCGCACGTACCAAAAGATTGGTGAACTGGAGGGATCCTTTGGAAGAAGGGTATTTTCCTAAATTGGACAGTTTGGTTGCTAGCAGAGTGTGGCCGCCTAGGTTTGCAAATACTAAGCTCAACGTAAGCGCTTGCTTAAATTATTAAAAAAGAATTTTTTGTGTGATAATCAATAATATCAGAAAATATATAATTTGTTACTTTTTCTCTGAAAACAAGTCATTTAGGAAATTTCATTTAGCCCAGCTTCACATTCAAATAAATTCAATATATATTCAACTTGTCTGAAATATTAGATCCATTCGTTCAAATATTTCTAGATTTTTTAATTTAGACCCAAATAAAGCTTAAGATTCATTAGTGGTTTCAATTGTAATAGTATTTTTTTAATTTGAATAATAATAATAATAATAATTCAATCTGCTGTCAAGTGCAATGACTCTATGTACACACACACACACATATGTATATATATATATATATATATATATATATATATATATAATATATATATATTTTATTTTATTTATTTTTTTTTTTTTCTCTGCTGTAGTAATCCTACAGAAAATGCGTATATTTTTTAGAAGTGTGCATACACCATGCACAAGCATATTATATGCATTACATTGTTATTTAGTATATAACTATAAATATAACTTATTACAATATGTGTTGGCTAAAGATATTTAAAAAGAATGGTACTTAATATGAATTACAAGGAGAATATTATAGATGTTTAAATAAAATAAATAACAATAAACGATTAAATAAAGTAAATAACAGTATCAGATGAATGAACAGTACCAAAATATACTAAAACAAAATACTCTAAAACAGAGGCAAAATCAAATACAATAATTATGCGGAGAATAAACAAATGTTACAAATTTACAATTGAATATCAACATATATATATATATATATATATATATATATATATATATATTTTAAACATAAGGATATTCATAAATATACTTGGACATCACCGGATTCGCAAACACGAAATCAAATCGATCATGTCTTGATACAACACAGCTGGCAAAGTAGTATAATTAATGTACGGTCTTATCGCGGAGCAGAATGTGGGTCGGATCATGAATTAGTAATCGCGAAACTTCGACAAAAACTTAATATAAAAAAGAGAAAAGAAAACCGTTTCGATTTTGAGAATTTTAATTTGGAAAAATTAAAAAATCCATCAATTAGAAACCAATTCGAGCTAGATGTTAAGAATAGGTTTGAAGCTTTAGAGCTTCCTGACGAGGACCACGAGGATATTGACAAGTTATGGATAGAGATCAGAGATAATATTAAAGCGGTCGGTAACTCGTGTCTAGGAAAAAAGGAAAATAAGAATAACAAACCGTGGTTTGATGAAGATTGTTTAAACATGTGTGAAAAAAGAAAAGCCGCTAAATTAAAAGCTCTAAATAATCCTAGCGAAGACAATCTGGAATACTTCCGAATCTCAAAGAACGAAACGACAAAATTGCTCAAAAATAAAAAAAGGGAGTATCTTAAAAATAAAATAATTGAAATAGAAACTAATAGAATCGAAAATAACGTAAGAGACATGTACAAAGGTATAAACAGGTCACGTAAATATGAAGGGCCCGTAACGTCTGGAATTAGGGATGATAATAACAATATTCTGACCGATCCGGTTGACATATTGAATAAGTTTAAGGACCACTTTGACAATATTTTAAATACGGGAAATTATGATCTGTGTCCTCCTTCTGAGTACCAGAGTGCTGAACCGTTGATAGAAGGACCAAGTAAAGAGGAAGTTGAAGTAGCTATCGGAAAATTAAAATCATATAAAGCAGCGGGAATCGATAATATTCCTACTGAACTAATTAAGGAATGCGGGGAAGTTGGAGTTTCTAAAATACATTGGTTGGTTAAAAAGATCTGGGTGAACGAGAAATTACCTGAAGAATGGAAAGACTCTATTCTTATTCCGATTCACAAAAAGGGTCCGAGGACGGATTGTAATAACTATCGAGGAATTTCACTCCTTCCGGTATGTTATAAAATATTCACTTTAATCTTAACCAGTCGAGTCACTGAATACGCCGAGGAAATTATCGGAGACTACCAATGCGGATTTAGACGGAATCGTTCGACTATTGATCAAATATTTTCTTTACGGCAAATATTAGAGAAAAAATTGGAGTATAACGGTATTGTTCACCAGCTGTATATAGATTTTAAAAAGGCTTACGATTCTATTGACCGCCAGAAACTGTATAATATTCTAATCGAGCAGGGGATTCCAAAAAAACTAGTAAATCTAGTCAGGATGTGCTTGACGGAGACACTCAATAAAGTTAGAATCGGTAATAATTTGTCCGAAAAATTTGAGGTTCGTTCGGGCTTAAAACAGGGGGATTCTCTTTCGCCTGTCCTGTTCAATTTGGCATTAGAACATGCCGTTAGGGAGGTAATGCGAACCGAGAAAGGGTTGGATCTGGGCGGGACAACATCCGTGCTGGGCTATGCTGATGATCTGGTACTGTTAAGCGAAGACGTTGAAACTATAAAACTAAATACGACAACGTTAATGAAAGCCGGTAAAGAACTAGGACTCGAAATAAACGTGGATAAAACAAAATATATGGTTAGCTGCAAAAATGGCGATACTACTGGAGATATCGATATAGATGGTAATATGTTTGAACAGGTAGATAAATTTAGGTATCTAGGTTCTACGATAACTAGAAAAAACGAAATTGAAGAAGAGATTAAGGTTAGACTGAAGGCGGGGAATGCTTGTTATTTTTCTGTGACAAAACTACTTAGTTCGCGCCTCTTGTCCCGAAACTTAAAAATTAGAATCTATAAAACAATTATCTTGCCTACAGTTCTTTATGGATGCGAAACTTGGCCGCTTACATTAAGGGATGAGCAGCGTCTTAAGGTTTTTGAAAATAAAGTATTGCGTAGAATATTCGGACCGAAGAAGGATGAGTTAACCGGAGAGTTCAGACGGTTACACAACGCCGAATAACAAGCGATTGGTGGTGTCGGCATCGAACCTTCGGGTTCGCTAAGCCTTATTATTATTATTATTATTATTATTATTATAAAAAATGTACTTTTTTTTAAAAAGGAAAAATACATTATAAAATAATAAAAAGAAAAAAACTTTAAGCAATAATAGAATAATAGGTAAGAAAAGATAATTTATGATTAATAAGATTTAGTTCACATTCACACCTATTACTATTACTATTAACCTCAACATGTGCTGTAATGTTTTTATTGATATTTCTTTCTACTTTATCCACTTTTATTTGTGTTCATTATATATTATTTGTTTCTTGTAGTCGTAGGAAAATAAATTGTAAAATGATTATTTTTTTCAGGATGTTTATAGAGAAATAGATCAAATCAAATTCGACCTTCAAGATTTGGAAAGATGGAGGGATAGAATATATGCTGCAATCCATAGTGGAACCGTAGTAAATGTATGAAGAAGAATTTTTATATCCTTTAATTAAATCAGAGTATTTTTTAGGGACATCAACTAAGTCCTTTTCTGGAGTGGGGTAGCTCAGTGGAAGGGTACTGAGCTTCCAATGCAAAGGTCCCAGGTTCGAACCCAGGCTCATGGAAGAAAATTTATTTATCTGTTTCATTGGCCGTGGGGCGACCCTGGGTTGGAAGTCCCTCCTGGGGCACACCCAGCCTCTATAAAAGTGGGTAACCTTAATTAAATAATTGATCAGGGGGGAAAACCTGACGGTTGAGCGTGATCTCGGTCAAATCACCTCCTTGCACAATCGTTGACCTAGAAACAGTACTTTCCCTAAATAGTACTGAACCCCAGACCCCTCATGGGTTGTAGTGATAAAGGTAAAAAAAAAAAAAAACTAAGTCCTTTTGGTTTTTCAGAGTAAAAAAAAACTCATCTATATTATATAAATCAAATTTATTTTAATACATAAGATTTTTCGTATGACCTTTTCCCATCAGTCTAGCACATGCATGATCTTTTCGTTGTTTTTGGATTTTAAGTCAAAGCTGATCTAAGTGGTTTCTGATGAACTCATTCACGTTCGTAAAGCATTTTGAAGATATTCTGTACCCATACCCCCTTCTAAGGTCGATGCTGCATGAACAACTTTTCCTCCTCCCCTCCCATCATAAGATATTTTATTGGTCTTTTCTTCTTAAAAACAGTGAAAGCGAAAGTAGAATTTAAAACTTTGCAGACCATATGCAATTATACTATTTACGGTCTGTTCCATGTTTTTCTCTTTCTCTCTGATTTGAAACTTTTCATTTCGAAAATTCATAACCTTGTCAAAAAGTACCCCTTCAAAATCTTGATAGCGCAATTTACGCCACGAATCCTCATTGTGGGTACCGCTGCGAGGAAGACCACTGAAAAGCCAGCATGAGGCACAATGTACCATCAAATGCTTATGAGTGACTATAGATATGAGATCTGTTATGAAAAACCACACCTATCCGATTTGCCAGTTTTGGACTTATTTTTCGCTTGACCCAATTTCGTTAATTGTCTACCGTTGCTTAAACTTACCCAGGATGTATTCAAAGCCTCCAAACTCGAGTTTGCTTATGTTAAAACGCTTTGATACTTTTAACAATCATGGCTCCTATATTTAAAATCTCACTATAACTTTCATATGGTGTAATCTCACTCTTGATGTTCTAAACCGCTTCATGCTTCTATGCGCGAAATATTGTGACATTTCAATCTCGAGCTCAGATTGAGAGAAATGTATATCAACGTGGAGCATTTCAAAATTTTGTCTAAAGCCCTAGACTTCGCAGACAAATTTTGGTTAAGGCATTCTGTTACTACATCGTCGCCACAAAAACCACATTTTTTTTGTGAGTATTGCTAATTATTTGCCTATTCTTTAGTAATGTAACGAAACATGGCGATGATTGATTACTTTCTTTTGCATTTTTTCCGAGCAATATTATCAAATAAAAATCTAATCTAATATACTTAACTCTATATAAGCGTTAAGAGAAATTCTCATTGACACATGTTAACAATAAGTAAGATAGTGTACTACCCCTCATTGGGAACTATTTCGGTCATAGCAAGAAAAACCGAAATGACCTAGTTGCTAACTATATATACAAATATTTTCATCATAATTACATTATTTTATTATTAATTATAAATTACATAAATACATATGAACATCTGTAATATGACCATTTTTTAGGATGAAGGACAGTTCGTGGAGCTATCAGAAACTCGAGGTATTGACATTTTAGGAAATATCCTAGAATCTAGTATTTTATCAATCAACACGAACTTGTACGGTGACATTCATAACCTCGGCCATGTCGCTATAGCGCTTTGTCATGATCCAGATGGCAGAAATCTTGTAAGTTAATGTATCAAAAAAGATATACTATAATAACGAATTTCGGAAGACCCTAACGTTAAAATACTTTTCAGGAAACATTTAGCATAATGGGAGACCCAGCTACGGCCATGAGAGATCCTATCTTCTACAGGTGGCATGCCTTCGTCGATGACATATTTCAAGAACACAAAAACACACTACCACGTTATACTCAGCAACAGGTTTATATATCTGATATGTCCCATCTTATTAATGTTAAATTAACTAGACTAACATTTAGTTGTCGCATTTAGCTCGAATATCCGGGAGTAAAAATAACTTCCATCGAAGTACAAACAGACGGGCAGGCCCCCAAGAACAGACTTCAAACGTTCTGGCAACAGAGTGATGTCGATCTGTCGCGCGGTATGGATTTTACACCGAGGGGCAATGTTTTCGCAAGATTTACACATCTCCAGCACAGACCATTTACCTATAAAATTCAGGTTAATGATTTTTATAGCATTACAAATAAAAAGAATTGTATTTATTTTATGATGGTCAACAACTTAAATTATTATCTTATAGGTTGAAAACAACGGCGGCCCAAAGATGGGAACTTGTAGAATCTTCATGGCTCCTAAATTTGACGAAAGAGGCCTCCCCATGCTTTTCAGAGATCAAAAGCTCCTCTTCGTTGAGTTGGATAAATTTACTGTTAACTGTAAGCAGTAGTATTGACAGCAATAATTTTAAAGATGGATACAATATATCGATTTTTATTCCACTGCTGTATTGTTACAGTGAAGGCAAACAAGAACACGATCACTCGTAAATCTACCGAATCATCTGTGACGATCCCATTCGAAAGAACTTTCAGGAACTTAGACGCTGGAAGGCCTACAGAAGAAGGTGAGTTGGAGGAGTTCAACTACTGCGGGTGCGGCTGGCCGCAGCACATGCTCATCTGCAAGGGCACTGCCGAAGGCTTCCCGTGCGAGCTCTTCGTCATGATTTCCAACATTGCTGATGACAGGGTAAATATTTATTATCTCACTTAATGTATATAAACTTTTTATTTCTACTGTTTTTTTAATTTTGCAACTAAATGCGTAACATGAGTATGTATTCGAGTCATATGATTTCAATTGGACTTCAGTAAGAAATTCTGTTCTGAATTCGGGAGCGGTCCAATGATCCTATCATATCCTACGTTAGATTTAACAAATTGCAAGAAGAGACGTTGGCTGTTTATGGATTTTAAAGGTATAATATCATAATCATATAGTTGATATGAAATATTAATGTCCTTACAAAGGATTTTTGATGGTTCAATTAAAATATAATTAGTCAATTCTATTGAGTCCTGTAGTTAGTTCAAATAAGGTTGATAATAGTCACGTGAAACTAGAATGTATTACATTAAATTAGATTGTAATCTGATGAATGATTATTCTGAATTGTAGATAAAATGAATGATTTGTTTGATAAAATGGATTAATATCCTTATGAATACCAACAAGGGATGGATGCGTTGGATTTCTCTACTGGCAACCAATCTATTCTATCTGGAGTGGAAAAATCGAGATAAATCTTTCGAGTCCTCCATGAAATAAATTTCATCTGCTAAGGCAAAATTTGAACCGGGTGGCGAAGGCATGCTGCGTAGCTTTATAAATTACCATCTCATGTACTCGTCATTGACGGGTGTATAGTTAAAATTTGAGACTCTTTTTTTTAGATGGATTTTGTATTATGGGGTGGAGATCCAAATTTAATTTCATAAAATTAGGTGGGGGTTGTTTTGAAAAAATTTATGGGGGGGCTTATGGAAGTCAATGTTTCACTATTGTCATAATAAAAACTTTGTTATTCGGCTATTTGTTTAGATACCAAACAACATAATCGACCACGAACGATCCATTAAAAATTTGAAAGTGTTTAATTTTCATTTATGATGAAGCGAGGAGATTGTGGGGTCGATTGAAATGATCAAAAAGAGTTGTAGTCTCTCCACTTCTTTAAACTCTGCTGAGTTTATTGCTGGTAAAATAAACAAAATAACATTGGATATTGAGTCACCTACATCCGTGTAAAATTAGAACTTGATCTGGATATTGTGGTGGACAGGGTGAAATTTTTAGGATTTTCCCCACGATTTCCGGCTAATCCGTTTGCTTAATCCTTAAAATTTATACAACATTTGTTAGGCTTAGGAAGTTGAATGGAATGACACCTTGAACGGGAAGATCGGACAAAGTTGAAAAATGAGTGTGTTTTAACCTTGTTTTAAGGTTACAGATGTTCGGGGTTTCGGATTTTTCCCGTTGAGTTGTGAAATTTTTTTACAACTTTTAAATATGGCTGCCGGTAGATTAGGTTGAGATGAGAATCGTTTTAAGTAACTGCCTAACAGAGATCTCTAGACAAATTACTCAAGAATTCATAATTTTGGTTCTACTCCATATTTTGTTTTCGTTTAAAGCGGACATGCGGTTAGACAAAAAATATGTTAAAAGTAGATATGGTCTCTGTATGAAACGGAAAGTTATCATGAAACGGGTTGATTCTATTCAATGTATAGACAAAACCTTTATTTTATTTATATAGATTACAGGAGACTATTATTACTAGAATCCTAGCCTTTTTATAGCCAACTGCTACTTGTCACTCATTTCTCTTATTTTATCGCACTTCGGCTACAGCCGCATGTCCTATGAGTGATTTCCCGATAAGTATGAAGTTAAAAATCATTGTTGCATTAGTCGACCCGATATCAAATTATTAATACTCGTTTAGTACGGTTTAACTTTGTTGTGATCTACAACGTTTTTATTTACGAAAAATTTCGAAAATGGGATTTTTAATCCGGAGATCGGTATACGTTGCCAATTTAATGAGCTACTAGAAAATCATGAACTCTCATTTGTTTTCTACTTGAATCATAAGATAGTTTGATCCCAAAATCGAGAAAGTATATTATATAACCTCCAACAACGTTTTAACAAGGTTTTATGGTCAAATGCTTAAGATTTTTGTAGGGTGCCTCTTTATTCGATTTTGTGATTAAATGATCATAAGATTCAAGTGAAAAAGAAAATGAGTATTCATGAAACCGTTTTATTTCGGATAATTTCCGTTGATAAAATAGTTGTAAGTTTCCATCAAATAAAGCTATTGTAGAAGTTCTAGATGTGTATTAGTAATTTGATAACGTAGTCTGTTACTACATAGCGTTAAATTCGCCTGAATTTCTTTAAACGCCAATTCTTTCATAGTTCCTACCAATTCAAATTCCTAATAAACAATGTAAGCAATTCTTAAATTATTGAACCCTCCTTTACTAAATCCATTATTTGAATATTAGAAGCCTTTCGCTATTTATAATCTCACATGTATATTAATCCATTTCTATTTCAATACACAGCGATTTTTCCTTGCCTCATTCAAACACATACCACAGCCTTACTCATCAAATATCAATCATTCTATGAAACATAATATATATAAGGGGACTGGGGTAGCCATGCGGGCTAAGGCCCTTGCTATAGGTAACCAAGTTAAGCAACGCCGAGCGTGGTTAGCACTTGGATGGGTGACCGCCTGATTTAGGTGACCGTCCGTCAGGGAAAGCCATGATGCATGGAGGTCTGGGACCTTCCCCCGCGTACGTGAGGCCCGTCAGACTACTCACACCAAACCGGGCGTAGGACTGATGATCCTACCCCCGTGTACTTAAATCAGGAGTGCCATGATGCCAGGAGTCGAATGTACCACATCTCGCGGGAATATATATATATATATATATATATATATATATGCATATTATTGTGTAAATGTGATTTTTTACCTCAGGTGGAACAAAAGGGAAGCCAGGGCCAGTGCAGCGACGCAGCTAGCTATTGCGGCATCAGGAACCAGCTTTACCCCGACCGGCGCTCCATGGGGTACCCCTTCGACCGTCTTCCTCGGCAAAGGGTGGACACACTTCGTCAATTCCTAACACCCAACATGATGGTCGTCGACGTCGCCGTCCAACACACAAACCAGGTCGTAGAGCGCCAGTCTCAGTCTCAGCCTCCAGCCAGGAGGAATTGAAAGTAACTAAGATTTTACGTGCAACAATAATAATACAAAACCACTTATATTCTGTATGTTTCTTTAATCACCTTTATGTTTACATTTTTTGTTTATGATTAATAAGAAATTTTATATCCTGTAAGACCAAAAGTCAAAGATAGACCAGCTTACATGAAGCGAAAACAGAACCCACTTTTCTTTTTTAAAGGTATTGAAGAAATCCCGAAAAATCGCTTGCAGTTTCAAATTAACGATGTTCAATGCTACTATAAAGCAAGTTCTGCTATACGGCTACGAGATGTGATCACTGCCAATGTCAGGGTGACTTAAAACTTCCTCATTGAATAATAATAATATAATTGCTTATTTTTAACAATTATGAAGTTTATCTCATTTTTTGTCTTTCTACCTGGACGCTGCTATGCCCACGTGTAATTATTAGGATCTTTTTTCAAAAAGGCTATTCATGATGGTCTTTACAACATGAAAAACGGATTCTTATAGTAAATTTTATTTTGAACGAAAAATTCCATTGGGCAAGGGGGGACAAATTAATCCCGCCCCAACATTTGCAGACTAATTAATAAAAAATATTAAAGATAAATATATCGACTTCAAATAATATATTTTTTAGAATTTCATGTGCATAAATGAAAAAAAAAAAAAAATCATTATTTTGGGAATAATTAAAAATATCAAACTGTTTGTTTGTGTCATTGTCTAAAAATCTTCCCCCTTCTTCTACCTCTATTCTACAGATTATCCTACAATAAACAGTTAGTAGTTTTACAATTAAAAAAAAAAAAACTTTTGTGATTGTTTCCATCTTTTAACCACTGTTCGACGAGGAAGAGGACGTGAAAATGTTTGTTTTTTTAAATAGATAAACTTATTAGAAGATGATCCTTTAGACTTGAGTAAAAATAATAATAATAATAGATAATTTATAACATAATTATATGCAAAATAATAATTATACATAATAACATAATTTATTAGATACTTACCAAGGCCGTAAGATAGTATCATTAGCCATCCCACTAAAAATCCAAATAACTCTCCAATCGCATTGTAGCTGTAGTGATAAGCGTTTCCGGCTGTGGGAGAGAGACATGATAGTTCGGCGTAGCACATTGCTGAAATATATTACTGAATTGTATTATATTTAGTATCGAGGTATTATATTTATCCTATCGAGGTAGCATAAAAGAAAAATGATGTCAAGGATTTTCATGATGAGCCGATGGATCAGTCTTCGGACCACACCATATTCTACCTATACCTAACTACTACCTAACTATACTCTCCTTCGTCATGACAGAGTAGATCGCACGGGTGGTGGAGTAGGTCTCTTTGTCCATGACAGTCTCAAATCCAAAATCTTTCACTGCTCTTCCATAACCGATTCTCCGCACGTTGAATACATTTTCGCCGAAATCCTCACAACCTCATCTGCCATTCTGTTTGCTGTCATATATCGCCCTCCTAGAATTCCTTTCGATGAATCACTGGAGACTTTATTGTACAACTTAATCCCTTCCTACTCAAACATCATCCTCTCCGGTGACTTTAACACCAATTTACTGGCACCATCCTCTGATTATTCCTACCTAACAAACCTCTTTAATTCTCTCAGCCTTTACATAGTACCCTACAATCCAACCCATCATACTCAGTATTCAGAGTCCTGGCTCGACCTAATTATCTTGGATTCCTCAGACAAACTCCTTGCCGCATCTCAGCACCCGGTTCCGTTTCTATCTTCCCACGATCTTGTCCAGTTCTCCTACAATGTCCCTGTTCCATCCTTTTCTCCCCGAACAATATACTTCCGAAACCTAGATTATCTCACTCACGAAACATTGTCAGAGGGTCTTGACGATATCCAGTGGGATCCCATCTACTCCTCAAAATCCATAGACACCATGGTAGAAATCCTTACCACTCAACTTCACTCTATCCTCGACCGACATGCTCCTCTTATCACAAAAATCATCCGATATCCTCCAGCTCCTTGGCTTACTCCTACTTTGAGGGAGTGTATGAGAGAGAGAGATGCTGCAAGGCGACGGTTTAAACGAACTCGACTTCCTGATGATTTTCTCTCCTACAAACAGCTTCGAAATAGCACTCAATCAGCAGTACGCCGTGCTAAATTCCGTTACTACCATCATTCCCTATCCAACTCTCCCAATACCAAGGCTACGTGGGCTATTCTTAGAAAACTGACCATTGGTAATGCACCCCAGTCTCAGTCCAATTCCGTTTCGGCTGATAACCTCAACGCTCACTTTGTCTCCTGTCCTCTCGCATCCACATCTCCCACGTCCAGTCTGGCTCCAATGTTCTCTTCCTTTAATCCTGATCACTTCTTTCTTTCCCATATTACACCAGAAGAGCTCCTTAAATCCATTCAGAAGTCCCATACCAATGATTACGGTCCCGACAACATCCCAGTCAGACTGATTAAAGCCGCATTGCCATCCATTCTTCCGATCCTTTATCATATATACAATTATTCTCTTCAAAATGCTACCTTCCATACAACCTGGAAAACCGCCCTAGTACGCCCATTGAAGAAGACTTCAAACCCATCAATTCCTAATGATTTCCGACCGATTTCCCTCCTTTCAAACCTCTCAAAACCATTAGAGCGGTTAGTCCAATCCCAGCTATCCCATTTTTTAGAGGACAATAATCTCCTAAATCCCTACCAGTCCGGTTTCAGGCCTGGTTATTCAACTCAGTCTGCCCTAATCAAAATTTCCCAAGACCTTCACACAGCCATAGATCAGCAGAAACTAACCATCCTTATTCTCCTAGACTTCTCCAAAGCTTTTGATTCAGTAGACCACAACATCCTCCTAACCAAACTTAAAAATATCTCTTTTTCTTCTAGTTCCCTTAATTGGTTCCAATCCTTCCTAACCGGTCGCTCACAGTACGTTGTAATTCCTAATAACCCACCATCAGAATCTCTACCTCTGACCAGAGGCGTCCCACAAGGCTCTTCCTTATCCCCCACCTTTTTATCCATCTATATAAATGACCTCCCATCCTCTATCCTGCACTGTCATTACCACCTGTATGCCGACGACATTCAAATTTACCTCTCCTTTAATCCGACAGATATCTCAGATGCCACTCAAAAACTTCAGGAAGATATTGACAGAATAAGTGCTTGGGCAAACCTCAATAGGCTCACTCTGAACGCCGAGAAGACAAAAGCCATCTTGATCGGATCCCCTTCACTCCTCAAATCCTCCCCGGTATCTCCCAATCTCTTCCTGAACAACTCACCTATCTTATTCTACACCACCGTTAAAAACCTAGGTGTTACTTTCGATCAATCCCTATCCTGGAAACCTCACATCTCCCAAATTTCCCGTCGCACTATCTCCACCCTAAAACAGTTCAATCGTCTACGATATCTCCTTCCATAAAAGTCCCGTCAACTTCTAGTTTCCTCCCTTGTTTTCCCCCACTTCGACTATGGCTGTATGGTGTACGGTGGACTCCCGGGAGATTCCGAGGCCAAACTTAAACGCCTAATGAATTGCGCACTACGATTTGTTTTCGGAATCTCAAGGGATACGCATATTACCCAGTATTACACTGAGTTGAGGTGGCTCTACCCATCCTATCGCCGTCAGTACTTCCTAGCCACCTTTCTGTACCAAATCATTAGAACCCATCGACCCTCCTATATTTTTCACAGCTTACAATTCAAATATCCAATCCCGTCCCACCAGATCTCGTACTTCCGACCTCTATCCTCCTCCTCACCGAACTGCTGCGTTTGACAAATCCTTTCTAATACAAGCCGCCTCCCTCTGGAATTCCATCCCAGCTGATATTCGACACGCTCAATCAGTTTCCTCGTTTAAACCTCTCCTCTTTAAGCACCTACTCCTTTCTCAATCCGAATGATTGTGAAATATATCTAAGAGAAATATCTGAGCACCACCAGAAACTACCTCAATTTATTAAGGTTATTTTAGTTTCTCATACATATGTACAATTTACTTATTCTTTTCTTTCTCTTTCTGTATTTTTATCGTAAGCCAACTTTCATTGTAAATATACAATTTAATTGTAGCCACACAGACATATAATCTGTATTCATATTTTGTTCTTAAGGGACAACAGTCCCAGAGTAATAAAATATTTTTTTCATTTCATTTCATTTCATTTCATATTAGAAGACAACCTTGAGTCATAGGAGACAGAACAATATTGATGTGTGGAAGTAGGTTAAAGGGATCGGCAATCTTAGGATTTCACAGCCTTTAAATATCACCGAAAGTAAGTTAACAAAAGGAGGAATTAACCGCTAGAAGTTACAGAGAGGTAAGTGTGGAACACAGGCGGATCCACGGGGAGGGAGGAGAGAGGCTTTCGGGCTGAATCCCCCCAAAATGGTAAAACGTTACCATGCCTTAAGGAAAAAATATTAAAAACATCTTTAAAAGTATTATTTTTCGTGTAATTATATTTATCAGGAATTCAAGAAACACTTAAACACTTTTTTTTTTTTTTTTTTTTGTCCTTCCCTTCCTCGCCGTTACGGCTATACGGGGTTTTCCCGGGCCAGAGGATGTGGGCGGGGATTTAAAAGACGCCTTGGCACCGGTACGCGAACTCGTGACTATTTTTATATCATTAATCATCATATATCAGGTTGCCGGGCAACGGTGGTGCTGTGCACACGCGTTAGCCCATTCGGCCACCCCGCCCACATATTAAACACCATTTCGTATAGGTAGGTAGTTTCTTTCTTTTTCTTCCAAAGTAATTATCGCTATATTTAAAAAAAATAAAGTAATTTTCGGGCTGAAGTTCCCACTCCTCCAAAATATTTGAATGCAAATTTTATTTCTATATTAATAAAAATGTGAAACATTGAATAATTATTTGACAAAAAAAAAATAATGATATGCAGACATTAAGTTAGTACGCTGAGTGGGCGATTTAGTTCGCTACTAGGCTGCGAGATTTGCGGTCAAATAAAATATACTTTGCTACCGGCTAGTAAAGTGGCCTTGCAGTGTGCTCTCTTACAATAGTTGTTATGACCAAGGAGAGTGGTTTAAAGAATTTTTGGTTGCAATAGAAAATATACAAGTATACACAAATATCCGTACTAGAAGATAGTCAAAACATCATTTTGTGGAAATTATTTTTAAATATCAGTGGCGTAAATAGTCCGTAAGTTTCTCCGCTCATCCGCAGTCTAATTCAATGCCCCCTATACCCTTCTGTCCAGCCACTCACGCAGTTTTACTTTACTCGGAGCCGTTAATAATAATGTTAAATAAACACAAGAATATCTATAACTTACTCCAATTAAGTTTTATCTCAAAAATACACATGTTCATTTAACTATGGTTGGTAATTAGTATGTTATATAAAATATAACCATTATAAAGTTATGATGATCATTCATTGACAGTATTAATTAACTACTAGCAATCTCTACTTTATCTGTTCTTTGAATAGAAAAATTCTTCCGTCTTTTTATTTAAGAGCTCAAGCATCCACTTGCTCGATGCTTACGATTCCTGCAGCTTTTAAGCTTGTATCTTATATTATTCCCAAGTTAAATTAATAACTCACTTCACATTTCTAATCACTCCTAAGAACAAGTTGTTTTCTATTCGTGATGTCCCTATACACCCATCCACTCTGCGGCGGATTGAGGATTTTCATTTACGCCACTGTTAGACATGCATGAGTTAGATAGGCAGGCTTAGACATACATTGAAATTATGAATAAGGACATTACTTACCGATTGTGATCATTATAAGTCCACCAAGTCCGAAGCCGAAGAATGACATGATGCCATGTCTTTGAGCTAGTTGGCCCAAACTATTATGGAAGCCGTGGCCAATCATGGAACCTAAGCACATCAAGACAGCATCCATAGTGCAGAAGACTATTTTCAGGGGACTTATGGGCAACACGATTATCTGCTTCCTTAACATCAAGCTCCGCAGGAAGCGCCAAAACTTCTCAATCTTAGCATTTAAACCTGGCATTAAATAATTTATGTTACGTATCGTAAAAGTTTAACCTCACTCACCAATATGCTTTTTGTATTTAAATGAATAAAAAAATTACTGAAAACATCTAAACTATATTTAATACGGTAGTTTAAATTAGTGTTGCCCAAATGCGAGACCGAGACGAGTCTTGGTCTTGCAAACTCAGTCTTGGTCTTGCGCAGGAGTCTGGCAACAGTCTTGCAGTTACATATTAGCTTATTATTGTTATTTTTTAGATAGGACAAACCTATTTAAGCCCGTATGAAAAATTAGAGGCGTTAAGTGCAAAAATATATTGGTTATACCAATTATTTACATACAGTAACTAAGATTGTCAAGTATTAGTAACTATTTTGCCTTAATTTTTATTCAAAAACTCGATTTTTTTACCAGTCCTGGTTTTGGTCTTGCAACAATTAGGCGGCCTTAGTCTTGCAAAGTGCAAGACCAAGACCAATTTCGGGCAACACTAGTTTAAATCCCTTTTCAAGCTCTGCTGAGCTAAGGATTTTGATGAAAACTTTCTAAAATCAGAAAAAAATTATAGAGAAATGACGGATTCCGTTTTCAAAATTCCGACGTTGGTGTAGCGGTGAGATACTCGGGACCCCAGTTACAAATCTTAGGCAACTATTCATTAGCCTGTTCAGTTTATTACGGAGCTCCACTGAGAGACTATCATACACCATATGCCTGTAGTCAAAGTAAGGGAAGATGAGAAAAGAAATTAGGAGTCTACGCGTATGTTGAGGCATGAGATGGCGGAAGCGATGTAATAATTTGAAGGTAGAAATTGTCCGTCGAGAAATGTGATAAATATGATTATATCAGGAAAGCCTTTGATAAATGAAAAATCCTCAATGTTTAACAGAGGAGAAGAAGGAGATTGGTTGACCATTAAGGTGTAGTATGGGAAAGTCGGTATGGGATCTAAGAAGGGTCTTGGAACCAATGACAATGGCCTAAGTGTTGGCAGCATTTGACTTCAATCCGTTTACATTTACCCAGGCACTGTAGATTCGAGCTAGGTATTTTTGAATCTTGATAAAACTACCAATAAATCAGGGAGAGAAAAGATTAGGTAGATCTGAGAATCCTATATAATTGGTGTGTGATGCCATTACAGCGGTTAAAAGGTATGTGGGGAAATGTCGGAAATATAAAAGTTATTGTCGTGAAATGATATATTTGGGGAAAAGCTGAAAGAGGAGTGGTATTAGCAGCAGATATAAAATGCGAGTATTTATCATTAGAGAATACAGGAAAGGCTGAGGTAGGGGATCTGTAAGGATCACAAAGGGAATGTTTATGAAGTAGTAGCCATTTGGATTTGATATCAGGAGCTGACGAAAGGGCTTCATGGAATAGGTAGCTTTCGCACACCGGATACTTATCTGTGTGTTGATGGGATGGCCGAACTGGCAAATGCATGTGCACAGCACCTCCGTTGTCCGGCAATCTGATATATAAGATAAATGATAAAATGTAGTCACGAGTTCGCGCCCCGGTGGCGTGGGAGTGTTTTGAGTCTCCCCTCCCCCGCCTACATCCCCTGGCCTGGGAAAATCACCTACAGCCTTAAAGGCGAGGAAGAGGAGGACGCCAAAACGAAACCAAAAAAAACTTGTTTGTGTCAAGTTGCGAAGCACCCTGAACACTCGATGGTCACCTGCAAATCTAAATCCTCTACATGCAGATTAGCGCTCCTGCTGATCTTTAATTTCCTGACACATCCAAGGTGCAGGCCGGTGATGTAAGGTAGAGGTTTTGAGAGGGGCATGGGTATTGAGAAGATTTGTAGTAAGAATATGAACCATAGAGTCAATAAAAGAGCAAGAATATATTACATTCCAAACTAGAGTTTCTAGGTCAGGTAATATTTTTTCTTGAGTAAGGGCATCTAGATGGCGGAAGGTGGTAGTTCGAGGCTGGATAATCTACATAGACCGTTGCGGGGAACCACTCCTCTTCCAGTACTCCCAACAACTCATTGAAGATTACATTAAACAGGGCAGGACCTATAACAAAACTCTGGACACGGACAACTTCTTTCCATAGTCTTCTACTTCAAACACTTAAATTAATTTAATTTAACGAAATCCCCTAATTCTTAAAGTTCGGTTGTGAAGATAGCTCCGTAATATCTACAAGTTTCTAGGAGGTTCATACATCTGCAACTGCTGGCGGAGGTGATGTCAAACAGAGGAAACGGAATGCAAATATACGAATTTAAAACAATCAATGTTTTCCCACACATCTAATCTGTTAAATATGTGGATTTTTCATCACTGTCCTTCTAGAAAAATATACTTCAATTATTTATTCGATTCTAAGAATTTCATGTATTTTTTTTTTTTTAATAACAAGGCGAGAACTTTTTTTATGACTGTATTTTTTTAGATATGCGGAAACTTTAATTTTTCATATTGCCTTAATTTACATTTTTTTTTTATTTCTTAATGACATTTACAACTGTATTACATAAATACATCAAGTAAATTTGGACATAATAGATATAATGACATGAATACACCTGCTGAGTAACTACCCAATGGTAGCACTCTAATGATATGACTACATTAGGAGATCACGGGGCCATCTTCTTTTCAGACGCCTCGGAGGTATTTACATTATTAAATTCTAATTAATACTAGAACTATCATACATAAAAGCCGTACATATACTATGATATATAGATGAGCCTGTGCAATTCTCTCCAATGATATAGCATTTTGTGCATGTACATAAGTAATTGTAAAATTCCGGCCATGCTCAAGCGCTTTCGGTTATTCTTCGAAGAGGCTTCGTTAGTTCCCGGTCCCATCTTACAAACTCTTATTTCTCCTTTAATTAATTATCTAACACTTTCAAAGTTTACATTTAACCATTTTGGTTTCTTAATTTTAAGAAATAACTATTGTAATCTACCAAGAAAAAACAGAGGTTAACCCCCTCAAAATATGAGGTTTTACGTTTCATAATCCATGGAATCCAAAAATCCAGTAAAAAATGTTTCCCCGTCGGTTACTTTTCTCCGCGACCACTGCTTCGATTGGTTTGAGATTTGAAATCAAATCCAACTCCTGAAATCAAGTTAAAGAAAATGAACTGTTTGTTGACTGGAGTGTCTGATATTATCTCCAATCTTGTAGAATCATACTTAAGGCAATAAGTATCCTTGATAGCATCCTCTACACAACGCTAATGACGCACGTGTGCTGTTAGTTAATAATAAATCATTTTTGTATCCCAAACTCTTCATATCACAAACATATATTCCTGTCCTCAGTATGGACAGTGTGTCCAGTGCTCTCGTCACGTAAACATTGACAATTATTGCCATCTTACGTTACGTAGTGCCAGTAATAGTTTGGAACTGGAACTGAGACTAAATTATAAAGTGCTCATCGGTGAGTCGCTCTATTCTCATTGAAGAAGTCATCGGAGAATAGTCTTCATCGTAAAAAAAATAGTGGAACGAGAAGTGTCTACATTACACCTATATAAACGGTGAGTCGACATATTGCCTAGTAGTGGGGAGCGCAATAACCAACTCGACTGACTTGCCTTATTTAATTGTGAGGTTACGTCCATCGTTCTCAGAAATCTCACGATCTGTTATATATTTTTTCTTGTCGCTTTCTCTCAAATATTTGTCTAAAAAACAAATAAAATGATCAATTGCCCCTTATGCAAGCAGATCGTGTCAAGGGAAGATAAAAAACCATTAATTTGTTACACTCCCAACTGCCAAGCATTTTATCACTGGAAATATTTGAATGTTGAAATAGAGAACATTGAATCCATAAAAAAATAAATGACTTGGAAATGCCGCAATTGTGAAAAGGCCCAAGGAAATAGTTCGCCTACCGAAAGAGGCAAAAGCTCACAGCATACCACTGGGGATGCTACATCACAGTTGCTGCTCTCTGTAATCAAAGAGCTCACAACCTAGGTTAAGAACCTGAGAAGTTCCGTTGAAGCTAATGCCTCCGACCTGAAGGATTTGAAATCATCAATGGAAAATAAGGCATCTATCACTTTTGAAAACTCGGAGCAATTAAAAGCCATTGAATCGCTCCCAGAAGCTCGGAACTCGAAAATGGATGGCTTGGTTTTGGCGAATTCGATTCTAAAATCACGAGTGTCGGAGCTTGAAATAAAGCTAAACAGATCCGAGCAACAGCACCTGGTTAAAACCGCAGAGATTAGAGGAATTCCGGTGAGACCCCGGTGAAACTCCAATGGGCCTGGTAGTGAGTATGGGCGCAGCGCTGGAGCTAAGCCTAAAGATGGAAGATGTGGACAGCATAGAGAGGATCAGAACTCGGCAAGATAACACTCCTGGTCCACTATTGGTCAGATTTGTTTGACAATTGCTAAGAGATGAGCTGATTCATAAACGGAAAGTGGTAAGAGATTTATCTACTCGTCACATTGGCTGGCAGGAAAACGATGTCCACAAAATTTTTATCGGAAAAGCGATGACCTCGACCAATAGGCACCTCTACTGGCTTGCAAGAAAGAGGAGAGCGGCTCGAAAGACAAAATATGTCTGGTTTGTGATGGCAAAGTGAAGTGTAGAAGAACTGATGGTCAGCTCGTAGTTGTCATAAATTCACCTTCTGACCTTGACGTCTTCTCTTGACTTCTCTGCTCTCGTTCCTTCAATCCACCACCTCATTTTCTAGCAACGTTCTTCTATTTACTTAACTGTTATAAGCTTAATATTCCTATCAATTTCGTTTATGTGTATATTGCAGCTAATTTTATTATTATTTTTATTAGTATTTTGTTCATTTTTCGCCAGAGTATATTTTCAATTTCCGCTTGTATGGATCTATTGTTCTTTTGTTTCTTATCACCATTGATTATATGATACTATCAAGATTATTTCTTCTTATATTTCTATATTTCTTCTTATACATATTTTTTCTAGTTTCTACTTTTCAATAGTTTTGCTATTTATGTTTCAGCATCCACGATGCATCTCA